GCGAATATATATATACATATTTTTTTAAATAATAGAAGTAAATCTATAGTTGTAAAGATGATACAATTTTTATTAGAAATATTATTGAAATATTCCAAAAATATCTTTCTTAAGATAATAATTTAGAAGAATAGGAATAAATTTCTAATTCTAGTAAAGAATCTTCATAGTTTTATTGATCTGAAAGACTTAACTCTGTATCAGCCTGTACAGTTTTTCATAGACGTGTGAGAAGTATCTGAAAAAGTACATCGTTTGATACCAAGCACCTAGATTGGATGCGATCATTATCTGGTTACGTCTATACTAAGATGAAAATATGTTTCTATTAAAAAAAAAAGATAAAAAGGAGAACAGATTCTTTTATCAGTATACAGTAAAATGAAAAAGTTCATTGACGAACAAATGTAATATAAGCTGTGAGAAATAGATTTTTGCGCGATAAAACTCGAAGAAAAATATGGAGGAATGGATTGAATACAATTAGTTAATGGCATGAAAGATATAGACCAAATATTTCGTAAAATATTATTATTATTTAGAAAAATATAGAAAAATATTTGTATAAATGTACAATAGAACTAATGGAGTGAGAAATAAATAACATTGATAAGCTTGCTATAAAATATCATTTCTTCTTTTGCTTAAATCGTTTCGAAATTTAATCAAATCGAATAGTTTTTTTTTTAAAATTGAAAAATATAAAATGTATGATATAATATATTGAGGTGAAAAACTAATAGTTTATTCTTAGATAAATTAATTTTGAAATGTTTATTTTTAGAAGTGTACAAATGATATTTTCAAAATAAACATTGTTCTAAAATAGAGTTCGACTTTAGTGTAACATTTTCTTAGCTTAGTGCATTGACTTTATAGTAAATCCAAACTATAGAGTTCGGTTGTGAGACGTGAAGGGATGCTCAAGGGTCACATGGGTAGCCATTCAAGCGTTAATATTGAAAGGAGGTTGGGAAGATGGATATCGCTTCTGAAAGGCACATATACTGACAGATCAAAAGGGCAAATATTCCTCTTTCGATTTATTTTAGGACTGAAAAAAAGAAAACAATTTGAAATCTTTTATAAATTTAACAAATTTGTATAAAAGATAATTCGCTTTTCTTTACACACACACACACCACACACCACACACACAAATTTATTTCAATATTCGCAATGGTTTTTCAATAGGAGTAAAGAGGCATATAAATTGATTTTTTCGTAAATTTTTTTATTATAAATATATTAAATTTATGTATAATTTAATTCCAACTTAAGGATATTTTTAATTATGGATTTAAATGTAGAAAAAAATATAGTAATAAAATGTTAGATTTTTTTTAAATATTGAAAAATATTTAATATTTTATTTTTATTAAACGTCACATTTTTTATTATTATTTTTAGCTTTTAATACAACGTTTTTAATCCGACAAGAATATTAATAACTTGATTGAATTTATTTATAAGAGAATTTTTTAAAAAATATTTTAATAAACTTACACCTTATTAATTTTAATGAAGTCTTATTTTATTATAATAATAATAATAAAAAAATTATGAATATAACAATGCTAGATATGAATATTTATGAAAATAAAAGCATTTATAAAATTCATCACGCCCTTTGTAACGTTAAAGCACCTATATAATAAGCTATAAAAGGAGGATCTAAATTACGTTGCTTACACTTTAAATAATGGTGACGTAAATTTATCGATTTAGACTCAATTTGGTTAAAAATAGAACTCCCATTGGCCTTAATTACCTTGCGAAATAGCTTAACTTTGAAAGTTTTACATTATGATGCTCTGTTTTACAAGAGAATTTGCTGTAGGCATAATTACATCAATTAGTTGAATAAGTCAAAAAGAACTAAAATACTAATCTTGATTTATTTAATTGGAATGAACTAAGATCTCTGCTAGTTTAATCCGGTTTCTGACGGGGAATTTATTGGTAGCAAGCAACGACTAAGCTCTAGGCAATTAATTCTCAGCATCCACCAATGGAGGCAGACTTGCCCAATGACCCAAGAGTTCTGTGTACCATTCGACAGATTTTCTTTCTCTTAAAGCCTATCATAACAACCATCGTTTATATGGAATCTTTCACGTTATATATCTAGACTTTTTTTTTATTTCTAAAACACTGGAGATTTTGTTTTTCAAATGTTTAATTCGTATACTAAATCACTCATATTGTATATTTAGATTTTTGATTTATAATAAAAAAAAAACACTGGGGTTTTATATATAAACGTTCATTCAATTCGTGCATTAAAATAGAAAACAAGAAAATAAAATTTCGTTAAAAATTTTAAGGAAAATTATGCTAAAATATGAACATTTTAAAGAAGCAAAGATTTTTTTTTTTAATATTTAATCTACACAGTAAATATTATTAGTTGAAATTTTGCCTTAAAAGTATTCTGTTCTTAAAATATTTATTTTTTAAAAAATATTTAACAATACGAGCGCACCTTATCAGGGAATTTAGTAAAGTGTACAAAATGGATTAGAATTGATAAGTCTATAGTTTATCTCAAAACTGTTTGCTAACATAAGACCATTTTAAGATTACAGATTTAATGAGCTTTGCTAATAGGCTAATTTAAAATTTATGTTAATACCCGGTATTAAAATACCAAATTATGTTAACGTTACGAGTTTTTAATGAGTTTTTATTCGAATTCAATAGTCGGAAGAGCCACGAAAAGGAATTCTTTACAAAGAGGATTTCATTATATTTAAGAACAACACCGACTTTCATTTACTTTTAGATATTCGCCACTGAGTTAAACTGTCTGAGAAGGAGCCTGGGGCTAGCTAAATTTCTCACACTCCCATTAGTAATCTATCATCATTTTTAGCCTGAAGTCACAAGACATTTGACAGGCGATTGTTGCTTGCATCCTTCAACTATACATCACTAACTTCAATGTTTCCTTTGCAACTCATCAAAAGAAAGACACTCCGCTATTGTGTAATGGATCCTCCGGGCTAAACTATCATCTTTCTTAGTTTTTAAATTCCCTTTTCACTTATCTGCTACGAAAAAAAAATGCTGATTCCTTTTTAATTAATTATTAACATTAAGTACTTAATAAATCTAATTAAAAGAAAGTGTTTTTAATAAGACTAATAGGATAATAATCTTTTTTTCTTCTTGCAAAGAAAACTAAGAGCAGAAAATGTTTTCGTTGCAATACGATAGATACAAAAAAGAAACGACGAAAAACTTAACATAGAAAGCAAGCATCAAATTATTAATATGGTAATGAATTCTGAGGATCATTAAATTAAAAAGTAAGCTCTGATATATTACCTCGTTTATTATAAGTTGTAACTATGCTCGAGTGAAGTGTGGAACGTTATTGAAACATGTAATAGTAACAATAATAATAATAATCCCATTTGACCTTGAAAATGGACTTTGTGTACAGGATATTAGCAGTAGAACCTCCCTTATCCTTTGCGTAATTACTGACTGCATCTATATTGTTTCTCGCACACCCGCTGTTAGACTCGAGTCCAGTTGTCATAGGAGGAGGTGAATCACTCTTCATCATTCTGTCTCGAGGGGGACATCAACTACATCCCTGCGGGAACCTTACCTAATTAGTAATTAATGGTATTTTCAGTGAACGAGAGAGAAAAATCCCTCCTAAGAATCCGGGTCGGTAGGGCCTTCAGAAATTTGTAGTTAACCTAACGAAGCATACCTTACTCTGTTTATATAGAGAGATTAACATTAACGATCCCAGCGAAACATTGTTTTCAATGTTTATCAGCTTTGGGTAGAGTAAAGTGTGCCAAAGGGATTAGAATCCAACTCAAACTGAATCGTTCGCATTCTTGTTTATATTTTATTCATTTGTTGAAAGAGGAAGTCGACTAGTTGTAAATATTTTAAAGACGTATTAATATGACTTTCAACTTTTATATCTGAAACATTCGTCGCAGTTTTGACAATATTCGATCTATCAATAACTCGAGGTCATCTCTAAACCACACTCCAATCTTCCTATTCGAAATCTATTCTTAATGGACCACTTTTAATGATAGTACAACCTCTATATATCCAGAAAACTTGATTTTTTTCCTTTTATAACCTCTAGGAGGAATCAATATAAAGCAGTCCGTAGCTTTTGATATTATAAATCGATAATATTTGACAAGTTTCTTCCATTTCATAAACTTTGAAATATTATCCTCGAAATCAAATAAAATAAATAGATTCCTATTTTCGTAATCAATTTTTTTAAGAAATTCTTTAGGCTTTTTTTATGATTTATTTAATTCTTTTAGTTTAATAATGATTTCAAAACATATTTTCTGAGCTTTGAACATAGCATCGCTCGGAATGTGATGTTGGACATCGAGTAAACAATGATTTTTGGCGCATTTTTCAATGACGCTATTAATCTTTGATGGAATGTTCTGTTTGCCATGTATGACGTACGATTTTAGATGCTTCCTTTCGTATTATAATTCAATTTCTTCCGAATATGTCTAGAGTCATCAACATCAGTTTTGTTTTATCCGACATTACGCCTTCTTACCTTTATTTCTCTTCTATTCCCCTTCTTTTACTTAATATTTATTGAATTTTTTCTTTCCTTTACTCGATTTTCCGGCCTTTTACTTTCCTTTTTTGTGAATAAATTAGTAAAGAAATTACGAAGAAATGATGCAGTAACACTTGCTCATCTTGCTCTTCACCCGTTTAACTTAAACAGCGTAAATAATTGAATATTAAATCGATGAATTTGGATAAAATTAAATAATTTGATTATATTATTATTTTTTTTCTCCTAACTTTCAAGGTAGAATTAATAATTTAATTAGCCTCCTCAACCNGTCGTATAAAATAAACAATGGAAATAAAATATAAAAATGATTTATGAATTGTTAAATATAGGCTAGTTTTTAGTTACGTTACTATAGGCATCGAGTAATATTTGTAATTGAATTTCTTGCATTTTAATGATTTAGGTGGTTCCTAAAAAAAATCCATCCGAATGTTGATAATCGTCGACGCCAGATGGCAACACGTGACGGGTGTAGAAACTAGAGTCTGCTCGACACAGAACGGTTGTTTCGACGTTCTAGTTTCCTGCAAAACCGACAGCCAGTAGCAGCTCTCCTATAGTTCAGAGGAAAGTAGTTTGGTGAGTGGTTTAACTACTTTACAAAACCATTTTATTTTAAACCTAAGTTAATATAAGATGACCCTATCGTATTACTCAAGCAATAAACATCAATTCGTTTAATATAGTATTTACGATAACGACAACCATCCCTTCTCAGATCTCTCGTTTGATTTAGAGTAGATCGTCCCAACAAAATACTTTTCTTCGTGCTAAAAGATTGATCAAAAAGAAAATTAAAAAGAAAAAAATAGAATATGGTCTTTTCTCATTTCTAAAATTTGTTTTACTTGTCAAAAAAAAAATCAAATAATCCTAGTTTAAATTTCCCGGCAGTTTTTCCGTCAACGTTATCTGCAAGATGGACATCACGTGTTTAAGTTTTCGACTTTTTTTCTCCTCCCTCCTCTTGTCAAAGTACATCTGCTATAAAGAAAAGAGAAATGTGATGATTCTAATTGAAGGACGTTATGCAATATTTTTCTTTTACTTTCTATTTAGTCTGGAAAGCATTAAGAATCGGATCGTATTACTAAGAAACGTTTATTTACTTTATGCAAAATCTATTTTTTTTTAAACGTTTTTATGAATTAAAGGATTTTTGACTCTGGTGTTTTATGGAAGGAACATTTCGTTTTCCTTTTCTTTTTCTTTTTCTTTTTAAAAATGTTTGAAAAATTTAAAACATTTTAATAAGAAAATATTCTTAAAGTATCATTCATTTATTTTTAAAAAAAATAAATTTAATAAAACTCGTATTTAAAGGGTCGCGTGTGAATTCGAATCGATCTTTAATCGATGCAAATCTTCGCTCAGAAGATGGAATGTTTTGAAATATTTTTGTAAATATTAATTATGTTGTTGTAGAAACTATAATATTCTACTTAAATAGTGTTTTTATTGAAAGAGTTTTTTCCATTTTTCCATTTTTTCCATGATTGGGCGCATCTGGTGGGAAGAAGAGAGAACTAGCTTCGGATGGTAATGATGATGGAATGGATGTTAATGTTGCGTAACATCCGCAGATCATTCTTTTCGACTGTCTTCCAAATCTACTGAATCATATCCGTTCAGGTGATTCAGCTCGACACATTTATCCTCATTATTTAAGCCCTTTTCCTAAAAACCAAAAGAATTATCTTCCAAGACATTAATCATTACTGATATAATTCCATACAAAGTTGATTTAACGTTACCATAATAAAGAAATTTTTCCATTCTCGATATTATATCCTTCAAGTGCCGATAATTTGGGTTATTTTAAAAGTAAAAATTTTCTTTTCTTTAAATTTAAAAGAGGAATTTAAAAAAAAAAAATGAATAAAATTATGGTGATTTTCCAGCGATCAAATAAGATCGATAATCGTATAAAAATGTTGATTAACTTCTACTAAATTATCTTTTGGTTCATAACCAAGATAGAGTAGGTCTGTCATCATTATCTGTACATTTAACAATAGGGAGTTAGTTTCTCGATCCGTCAGTAATGGTGTCGTTAGTGAAGAAATCATCACAAATCCTCCTTCGATCATTGATAGGAGTTACGTGTCTGGATGGGAAGATGGCTAGAAAAAAGAAAGGATACCCTAGTGTTTGTATGTTGGCAGTTACCTGCTCGATTTGTCACGATAGATTTTAACCAGATAAGGCTCGTATCTGTTAGCTAAATGGTTAGAAAAGAGTCGTATCTACCTGAAACGTTTAAATAAAAGCTTAAAAGATCCAGTGTTTCATTAATGTAGTTCTCGTGATGACGTAGGTCGTTGAAAGGATGGCTGCACAATTAGCTAGGGAGGAATTACATTTCATGAACTAGAAAATGACCGAGCCAGGATCATTAGGACAGTAAAGGATGTCGTCGATCTGTCATTAACGGAGATAATATGGATCTATGAATGAAAGATCTCCCATCTTTGATTACCGGCAATGAAGAAAATTTTCTTATTTTCCTCATAAAAGAAATCGTTCCTTTACCATTCATTCACATATATTGCAACGAAGATGGAAAGTCGAACTTTGACTCCTTCAAAGACGCGACGTTTCAATCAATTAGGAAATTGCAATGTCTTCCATTCGACCGTAGTACTAGTAGCAGAAGCAGTAGCAGCAGCAGCAGCAGCAGCAGTAGCACTACGCGAGTTACATTCGATTGACATTGAAGCCACGTTCTGGCTAGTTACCTGTCAACAACAGCTACACCGGTCGGTAACTAGAAACGTGGAAAGAATAGCACTAACCTAGTAATCGTATCCAAGTTTTACAGTAGATCGAGGTTGTCAGTACCGTGATATATCGCGAATTGTTGAGAATTCATTAACAATTCTCTCTACTATAGACATATACAACATTAATTTCGGTGAAAGTAAATATTAAATTGCACGAATTGTCGTCGGCTCACTCCACCCTTTCATTACGCCCTTAGTTTGACCGAGCTGGTATTTGAAGCGTTGATGAATTCATCACAGTTTTCGCAATAAGCTTCTCCTCTCCCTCTTTTGTTATTGTCTGTACTTCTCACATTGATCCATCAGTTTCCATTCTGGATTAAATTTTGCACTTTCCAGAAAATTTTCAAGTTTCCTCTTGTTTAATTTGCAAATATAAACTTTAATTCTACCTGCAATAACTTTTTTGCTTTTCTTTACTCTGTAGTGAATTCATTTCCCCAACAACAGCAACAACAAAACAATAAATATAATGAATACACGCGTGCGAACATACCTTTATTTAATTTACAGATAAATTAATTATAAATTTAAACTTTATTACATTCATTTTAATATTTTTATAAGCTTACAAATTTGATAGATTGATGCAATGTTCTGTAATTGCTTCCAAGTTCGAAGTTTAAAGTGAGAATACTTTTTTATATATATATATAATTAAATAAAATTTAATAATATTTAAATTTTGTAAATCTTGTATAAATGATTCTAAACTAATTATTTAATCTTTAAAATTAGTTTTCAAGTAATTTAATTTATATTCTATCTTCTCAAATATTTGCATAACGTTGCGCATTTCTCTAGATATTGCTTTAAAAAATATATATATATTTTTGAAGCCGTAACACGTTTAAAGATTGAAGAATTTATTCAATATTATCATAAAAATAAAAATTTTTAAAATATGTATTATGTTATTTATTACAAAAATTTTCTCTCAATGAATAGGAACATTGAATTAAAATATTTTTCTAAAAATAACCGATTTACGTTGGGTAAAATTGATTTTAAAAAACTGGTTTTGTACGTTTCCAATTCAGAATTTTTTAAAAAATAATTAAAAACAGAATATTTTTTTATTTGAAAATTTCTTACGTCGAATGATTAAAAATTATTCTTTCTATTTTTTTAGGGGTAACAAAAGATTTATAATGAATAATTTTTCTTTAAAAAAAAATACTTTTCAATTGCGATATTATTTTTATTCAGAAAAATTATATTTTTAGTGAAATTTTCTATTAGAAAAAATGTAAAAAAAATAAATAAATATTTCTTTA